GTAGCATAATGTAAGAGAGTAGGAGAGAGTGTAGCATAAGGTAAGAGAGTAGGAGAGAGTGTAGCATAAGATAAGAGAGTAGGAGAGAGAGTGTAGCATAAGGTAAGAGAGTAGGAGAGAGAGTCTAGCATAAGGTAAGAGAGTAGGAGAGAGAGTCTAGCATAATGTAAGAGAGTAGGAGAGAGAGTGTAGCATAATGTAAGAGAGTAGGAGAGAGAGTGTAGCATAATGTAAGAGAGTAGGAGAGAGAGTGTAGCATAATGTAAGAGAGTAGGAGAGAGAGTGTAGCATAATGTAAGAGAGTAGGAGAGAGTGCAGCATAAGGTAAGAGAGTAGGAGAGAGTAGCATAAGATAAGAGAGTAGGAGAGAGAGTCTAGCATAAGGTGATAGAGTAGGAGAGAGAGTGTAGCATAATGTAAGAGAGTAGGAGAGAGTCTAGCATAAGGTAAGAGAGTAGGAGAGAGAGTGTATCATAAGGTGAGAGAGTAGGAGAGAGAGTGTAGCATAAGGTACGAGAGTAGCACAGAATTCAGCAGAATATGAGAGACAGGAAAGTTCTGCTACTAAAATAATGTAAATGTAGATGACATTTTCCAACTTCCCTGAATCTCTCGCCAGATATTTTAACAAAGTATTTGTTGTACAAACAATATTCATTATCGTAATGAGCATGTTGTTTTAGCTATTAAGGGTTATTTGTGTGACTAGAGACAGTATTTTGGGTCCTTTGCAATACAAGGTTAGCAAGATAGTATTAACGTTATGTTAACCTTAACCATTGTATAAATTGGATACAGCTGTTTCAGTGCCATTCCATTCACTAAGTGTTGTAGTCTGTAAATAATGGACAGATTATTTTAGAATTACGTTATAACTAATAAAACAGCTGCCATTAAAAGAGCTAGACCACTGTCTCAGTGTCGCATACTAAACCAAGTATTTCGTAGAAATATTTTATCATTTTAACTGTAAAATGTTGAACAGGTTAAAAGTTAAATAGATGAAGTGATTTTCTAACGTGAACACAAACTTCCAGTTCCACCTACCATTGAAGATAATGAAAGAGAACACATTATCCAGGTGACTAGTGCATTGTGTACATGATAACACAGTAGTAATATCCTGTACTTGGTCCATGTGACTAGTGCAGTGTGTACATGATAACACAGTAGTAATATCCTGTACTTGGTCCATGTTACTAGTGCAGTGTGTATATGATAACACAGTAGTAATATCCTGTACTTGGTCCAGGTGACTAGTGCAGTGTGTACATGATAACACAGTAGTAATATCTTGTACTTAGTCCATGTTACTAGTGCAGTGTGTACATGATAACACAGTAGTAATATCCTGTACTTTATCCATGTGACTAGTGCAGTGTGTATATGATAACACAGTAGTAATATTTTGTAGTTGTTCCATGTAACTAGTGCAGTGTGTACATGATAACACAGGAGTAATATCCTGTACTTGGTCCATGTGACTAGTTCAGTGTGTATATGATAACACAGTAGTAATATTTTGTAGTTGTTCCATGTAACTAGTGCAGTGTGTACATGATAACACAGTAGTAATATCCTGTACGTGGTCCATGTGACTAGTGCAGTGTGAACATGATAACACAGTAGTAATATCCTGTACTTGGTCCACGTGACTAGTGCAGTGTGTACATGATAACACAGGAGTAATATATTGTACTTGGTCCATGTGACTAGTGCAGTGTGTACATGATAACACAGTAGTAATATCTTGTACTTGGTCCATGTGACTAGTGCAGTGTGTATATGATAACACAGTAGTAATATCCTGTACTTGGTCCATGTGACAGTGCAGAGTGTACATGATAACACAGTAATAATATCCTGTACTTGGTCCACGTGACTAGTGCAGTGTGTACATGATAACACAGTAGTAATATCCTGTACTTGGTTCATGTGATTAGTGCAGTGTGTACATGATAACACAGTAGTAATATCCTGTAGTTGGTCCATGTTACTAGTGCAGTGTGTACATGATAACACAGTTGTAATATCCTGTACTTGGTCCATGTAACTAGTGCAGTGTGTACATGATAACACAGTAGTAATATCCTGTACTTGGTCCATGTGACTAGTGCAGTGTGTACATCACCTGTGACTGAAGAATGACAAGATCTCCTGTTGGCTGTAGCTCTATCCTAGAGGACTTTGGAACAAGTTTCTCCCCATTGTGAAGCCAGCTGATGTGAGGAGGTGGAAAACCACTTGAACGACATCGCAGGGTAACTTGATATCCTTTTTGGGTTGCCAAGTACAGGATATTACTACTGTGTTATCATGTACACACTGCAACTAGTCACATGGACCAAGTACAGGATATTACTACTGTGTTATCATGTACACACTGCACTAGTAACATGGATCAAGTACAAGATATTACTACTGTGTTATCATGTACACTCTGAACTAGTCACATGGACCAAGTACAGGATATTACTACTGTGTTATCATGTACACACTGCACTAGTCACATGGATCAAGTACAGGATATTACTACTGTGTTATCATGTACACACTGC